GAAGTTTTTTAGGATAAAAGCAAGTTGTACCAGACTGTAGTTAGAATCCACACACCTATAAAAGATAATTAAGTACATAAATATAAGACATAGTAAGATTGTATATTTCTTTTTCTTATTTTAAACTGATTTATAAAGCAACTGTTCAAAATAATATGTATATATAGAATTCTAATGTTGGGTCTATAACATTTAGAAATGTAATAATATTTGACAATAACAACACAAATGAGATAAGTGATAATAAGACTATATTGTAGGAAGGTTTTAAGGGTGGAGCCCTTATGAGATGAGTTTAGTGCTCTTCTAAGAAGAGATACAAAAGAGTTGCTTCCTGTGTCTCTGCTTTCTACCATGCAAAAATAAAACACAAGCATGGTCATCTGTAAATAAGGAAGCCGGCCTTCACCAGGTACCAGATCTGTTGACACCTTAACTTGGACCAGCCTCCAAAACTGTGAGAAATAAATGCCTGCTGTTTAGGCTACCCAGTCTGTTGTGTATTTGTTATAGCAGCCTGAACTGACTAAAACAGACAGATATGGAAAACCCACAGCTGACATCATACTTAATGATGAAAGACCAGATGCCCCCTTCCACCTCCACTACCACCACCAAAGATTAAGGGATGAGACAAGGTTGTCTACGCATGCCACTTATATGCAACATTGTACTGGAGATTTTAGCCAGGTGCTTAGGCAAGAAAAGAAACAAAGGACATCCAGGTTGGAAAGGAAGAAGTAAAACTATCTCTGTTTACAGATGACATGATCCTGTGTGTAGAAAATTACAAGAAATCCACTAAAAATCTATTACAACTAATAGATGAGTTCAGCGTGATTGCAGGGTACAAGATAAACATGGAAAAATCAAGTGTGTTTATGTATGCTAGTAATGGAAATTCAGAAATGAAATTAAGAAAATTATGCCATTAACAATAGCTTTAAAAAGGATAAAATATTTTGGAATAAAATTAATCAAAGACATGAACACTGAAAACTACAAGATATTTTCTTTAAAAGAAAGAAGGTCTAGATGGAAATGGAAAGACAACCTGTGTTCATGGATTGGAACATTCAATATTATTAACATGGTAGTGTACCCCAACTTGATTTGTTGATTTCATCTGCTTTTTTTAAAGAACCAATCGGGGTGATTCTACCATTCATATGGAAATGCCAGATTGTGGCATGGAAATGACCCATATTCTATGTCTTGATGGACCTAGACTAGTCAAAACAATCTTGATAAAGACAAAGTTGTAGAACTCATACTTACTGAGTTCAAAACTTACTGTAATTAAGACAGGGTGGTACTGGCATAAGGATAAGCATATTGGTCAATGGAATGGAATGGAAGCTTTCACATTTAGGGTCAGTTGATTTTGACGAGTGTTTCAAAACTGTTCAATTGAGAAAGAATAGTCATTTCAACACATGGTACTGAGTCTACTGGATATCCACATATAAAAGAAATAATTTGGGTCCCATCATAACACACAAATACACAAAAGTTAACTCAGTAGAGGATCATAGACCTAAATATAGGGACTCAAATTATAAAATTCTTAGAAAGAAATACAGGAGTAAATGTTCATGATAATAAATAATGGACTCAGCCCAGATGTCTGCCAACTGATAAATGGATAAATAAGTATGGAATACTCATACAAAGGAATATTTTTTGACTATAAAAAGGAATTAAATTCTGATATATGCTGAAACATAGATAAATCTTGAAAATATTAAGTAAAAAAACAATCACTGATGCCATATATTTCTGTTTATGTGAAATGTCTAGAATAGGCAAATCTATAGAGACAGAATGTAGAGTAGTGGTTGCCTGGAGCTGGGGGAGGGGAGGGTTGAGATAGAGAATTATTTAAAGTCCCATTTCTCAGATTCAATTAACTAAATCTTAGTTCAATAGAATTCTAAATAATATATTTATCCTTCTTTATGGCTGCATAATATTCCATTGTGTGTATATTACCACATTTTCTTTATCCAGCAACTTGGATGGATTTGGAGTTGATCAGTGATCTATCACAGTAACAAAGAACAGAGTACCATATGTTCTCACTCATAAGCAGACCTTGAACAATTACAATACTGTAAGAAAGTGTTTGGGAGTAATGGGAAACTGTCAGGGGAGGGGAGAATGGGATTGGCAGTTGAGGGAAACTGCCAGGGGAGAGAGGGGCATGCCTCATCAACAAGGGTACCTGCATAATCAATGTTTGTATACCTAACTCTGCATTGTACCCCACATCTTTATAATAGAAAATTTTTTTTAATTCTAAATAATAAACTCCAGAATTTTTTTTTTTTTTTTTGAGTTGGAGTCTCACTCTGTCGCCCAGACTGAAGTGCAGTGGCCGCTCCCAGCCATCGCAGCCTCGACCTGCTGGACTTCAGTGATCCTTCTGCCTCAGCCTTCCGAGTAGCCAGAATTACGGGCGTGCGCTACCATGCCCGGCTGATTTTTTGATTTATTGTAGAGAGGAGGTCTCGCTGCCCAGGCGGATCTCGAACCCGCGGGCTCAGGCAATCCACTCACCTCAGCCTCCCAAAGGCGCGGGATTACAAACTGAGCCACCGAGCCCGGCCTTTAATTACTTGGAAATTAAGAGATGTACTCTTAAATAATTCAGAGATCAAAATGGATATTATGAAAAGCAAATACTTTGTACAAACATCTCTAGGACTCAGTGAGCGTAGTCTTGGGCATTGAAATGAGGAAAATGCTAATAAAATTAGGCTAATAAAATTAGGAGTAAGTATAACGAGAAAGGAAAATCTAATTGTAGGACATTAGATATGATCTAACCTAATGGAAAGACATGTCATTCTCTCAGACAGAAGGCGATATCACAAATATATCAATTCAACCAAAATTAATAAATAAAATGAATATATCTAGATTTAATTTCAGTAAGGTTTTCTGTTAAAATATTCTAACATATCTATGGGGGAATAAATATTCATGTGTAGCTAGAAAAAGTTTGCAAAAGAAATGAAATGGAAGAATAAGAATATACTATGAAGCCTATGGTGGCATAGAAGATGAGACGTATATAGATCAGTGAAACAAACTAGAAAATCTAAGAAAAGAATCTGGAGATATAAGAATTTAAGATATGACAAAAGGACAGTTCAGTAAGAAAATATTGCATTACTTAATCACTGGTACTATACGTGTAACTAGCCACTATTTGGAAGAGAACAAACGTGAACATAGAAAATTTACCATATACAAAATAAATTTCAGACATAGTAAAGAAAAACAAACAGAACAACACAACAAAAATCTGTAAAAAAAATATGCGACATTGCATTTACAATCTGTAGAGCTGGAGAGAAGACATCTCAAAGAAAAGTTATAAAAGATAAATTTTTCTGACATTGTAAAAATTTTAAATTATTTTATAGCCAAAAAATGCCCTAAAATCCATAGGCAAATGAAAGGCTAGAATAAGTATTTTTATTTCAGGTGACAAAGGGTAGTATAAAAGAGCCTTGTAAATTGACAAGAAAAAGACAACCCAATTGAAAATGGGCAAAGGATAAAAAATAGGCAATTAACAGAAAGTCTTACTCAGCTGACAAACATATAAGGAAAATGTTTAGATTCAATAAGGAAATTCAGTATTTTAATCACAATGATATATCACTTTATACTCATCATATGTTTCCCGTGGAGAGGAAAGGCACTCCTCATTGTTGTTGGAAATGTGAAGGGTTAATGGAAAAAAACCTGATAACATTTGTCAAAATGTAAAATGTTTGTACCCTTTAAATCATTAGTTTCACTCTTGTGAATCTATGCCATAAAAATAAAACTAGCCATACAAAACACCATATGAATTTCCCCCTCAGTTACAAAAACCAGAAACAAAATATATGCCTATTAACATGGGATTGGTTGGAAAGCTGTGGTACATATATAGTATACAATATTATCTAGCCCTTATGAAGGAATCAGGGCTATACCAGTGGATAGATTTTTCTCTCATATTGACCAAGAAATGTGAAGTGCCAAAAAAAAAAAAAATAAAGAGGAGGAATATTAAAAGAATGCCCTTCTAAAAATTAAAAATGAAAAATACACTTCAATAAATTAATGTACTTATGTGGCTATATGAGCATGGAGAAATATATGGATGGTACATATTGAGTGATTAAAATTAGTTACATATTGTAAGTTGACTAATAACACAAAAGGGATGAAAATGGGAAAAGGCAATCAAGCATTTTAATTATACTTATAGATATGTATTAAAGCTTTTTGAAATAAAATTTTTAAAGGAAACAATGAAAAGAAAAATTATCTATGGACCAGAGAATAGTAAAGATTCTTGTGTCTGTATTGGTGTATATACATTTTAAATGTTCTATAGCCTTAGTCTGTCAAATTTTGAAAGATGTATTCAAATATCTCAAAATGATTGTGCTTTTTATTAAGTTTTCCTTTGTGTTATTCACTTTGCTATTATTTTGGTGCAAAAAAAGTGTGTGGCTGTTCATCTTCCCTTTGTTAGTAGATAATATTTTATCCTGTCTTATTTAGTGTTTTTGGTCTTGAACTGTATTTCCTAGTATTAATGTTATCAGTTCTGCTTTATTTGCTTATATTTGCCTAGTATATCTTACTCATTTTTTCTAATATCATTTTGTTTCAGATGTGTCTATCATAAATACTATATAACAGTATTCTTTTTCCAAATGTGGATGGCCCCTGCCTATTTTTATAAAGGATTTTAATCAGCCCTTTCACACTTATTTTGGTAATTGATCATTTGGTTTTATCTTGTTAGTCTAATTTGTGACATGAATAAATGATTTAATTTTGTGTGACTTACACTTTTATTTTGTATGCAAAAAAAATTTAGGATTATTCTGAGAGAATTTCAATTCTGAATTTTACATGCAGTTTTTAATATGTGTAATGATTAGTGTCAGTGTAAACCTATTGAAAACTTTTTTTTTTCCTTCATGAAGACAAATTGAGTGGCAGCAATAATGCAAACAAAAGACAAAAAACTGCTCAGGACTTCCTTAACTCTATTGACCAGACAGGAGAACTTTTGGCAATGTTTGAAGATGATGAAATTGATGAAGTTAAACAAGAAAGAATGGAGGTATAGTACATTTTTCCTTTTTTACAGAAATAAAACACCATTGCAGTGCCTATGCTATTTGCTTCTATTATTATGTTCTTTAAATGTTGTCTGAAATCTCTAAATCAATGGTTTTATGTCTGACAGCAGCAGTGTGCAGAGGGGTAACCCTTGACTTTGGGAAACAATTTTTCTCCATTTCCTTTTTTGAAAATGAATAAATCTCCTTACCCTGGGTTTGACATTTACTGATTTTATTTTATTCCATAAAAGTTAATTTGTAATTAAGTATTTATGGGGTTTTTTGGTCCCAAATTATCCAGTTAACTTTGTCAACAAAGTGATTCTTACTGCTTTTGTGTTGCTATATAACGTAAAGAGTTATTTTTCAGGCTATATTGCAGACTGTGGTTGAACTTACTAGCTAGGTAGCATCGAGGGCAATTACATGCTTTATATCACTGTAACACAAAGTTAGTGACATGTATTTGGATTCTCTGGATGTGTCTTAACAACGAATATGAAAATTGTATGACTTCTATTTACCATTAACTATCTATACTTAAAATTATTGTCTTTAAATATTTCAGGAAAAATAAAAGTTATGATTTCTTTTATTTGAGTGCCTTCCAGATTACAAGGTAGTATTCTTATAGTCTGCATTACTGTTATTATACTTTTATACTTTCTATTTTTATACTTGTAAGACTCTCCATGGTTCCCCTGCTCTTTAAGTTGGGCAAGAGAGGTAATTTCAAAATTTTCAAAGATTGTGCTAAGTGCCAACTGTATCATAGTCTCTGTACATGTTAAAAATATAATTATTTCATGTTAAATTTGGAGGAAGTCCAATAGACATACATGCTTTATAAACTTTAACAACCTTCTTTAAAGAATTAGTATGCTTAGATCAAGAACTGATCTAAAGACAGCGTTCATTTAGGTATCAATTACCTTAGAAATGTGTGGTTATCTTGGTTTGGTACAACGGCAAATGGTTTTAGTTCAACTTTGCCTTGGGCCAGAAACACGCTAAGTTGTCCAAAGCAGATGATAAACATACACTTCTGATGTCATTATGGCCTAAACAGGATATGATTGTTTAGTGGCATGGCTTCACTTATGATGTATTACCCAGACAGCAAATATTGTTTATGCTTTATTTTAAAAATATTTTTATAAAAGTGAACATTAAGAAAGTTTCATTAAGGAAGGATGCTACATAAAACATTAGTGAAATTGTTCAAGTAACTTTTCAATTTTGATGGGAAAATCTTGGCTAACCAAACCTATTGCCCAGAAGGACATTCCACAATCAAGGAGAAGAGAAGAAATGGAGCATTTTGTAACACTAAGCTCATAATAGCAGGCTACTGTAGGCTTGGAAAACTGATGAGTCAGTAAGCTACTCAAGTCAATAAAATTTCTGGAAATGCAAGGTAGCAAAAGCTTGGGCACTTATGCAGTCTGTATACCTCTTCCTTGTAGTATTACATGGTAGAAACCAGGATGGTAAGATATCACTAGTTGAAAAAAATAACTACAGTGAAAGTCAGCTTCATCTGTACAATAAACATTACATTGGAAGCTTCTTTAAGCTTTATTCATAACAAAAATCTTCTCTAACCAAGAGAACAAGTAGTTTTGATAGTCTACTCATCCAAATAACAGAGTTTCACCAAATAAAAAAAAATGCTGGACTTGTAGACAAAACTGTAGAAAGTGGAACCATTAAGAACATAGTCCTTGCCTGCTTCTAATTTGACAGGTTATAGTTTCAAGAGTAAACCACAACTGTGGCAGTCCATATGAAACCACTTTGGACTCACAGACTGCAATCTCTTGCTTTAAAAGTACAGTAGAATAATCAGTCCTGGCATCATTCAGTGATTTAATTTTCTTCTAAGCATCACTTATAGTTGCAGAAATCTTGTTTACTACCTTCTCCTCTAGAATGTATTAAAATGGTATAGACCTACCAACAAGGCTTAATTTTCGTTTTCTTTCTTTATAGACATAAAAACTCACTTGGGATTCTAGCTTTTCCTAAAAACATAGAGCAAGCTTACAAAAAACTGAGTTCTTTCCTGTTATTTTCAGCTAATATATTTGTGCTTGTCTTTTTGTTTTACCCATTACTTACTTTGTTACTATTAAGTATCATGTGACTTGAAATATGAAAGATGTCTGAATTTTTACATCTAGTTTGCCTAGCTCATCCATCGTCATGATAGTTAGCTCTAACCCTCTTTAATTTTCTCTAGCACCAGATTATAAAAACTGGGTGTATCTACAGTAGAGATCCATGATCATGATCTCTGAACATCCTTCTAAATTATCAAATAAATATTAACATTCAGAGTGTTCATGTATTTGAGGAACTGAGAAAGAGAAGCAGGGAAATGGTATGCATAAGAATATCTATAAATACAGTTCCCCTCCAACCACTCCATTTCTACCCTCCTCTGTCCTAAAGTGAGGCAGGTGTGTTTTACTGTCAGTAATGTTTCTTTCATTCTAATTTTCTGAATTTGAATCATCTGATTTGTCAACCAAAGAATCAGTCACAGAAAACTTTAAATACCTTTGGACTTTCCTAATGTGGAGGAACTGTGGTCACTCACAGAAGAGCCCTGCCTAAGACCCAGGTACTCTGCTGTTGAGCAGCCTGAGAAGCTCAAGTTTATCATTAATCAAATAAATTATCCGGGCTAATAAGCCACTACATTTATAAGAGGTTGTAAACAATGGACACTTAAAAAGTTGGATGAACTCTGCCTCCAGACTAATTCTTAAATTGATAAATGAAAATAAGAGAGCAAGGATTAGAGCTTACCAAAGAAAGCATCTTTTAAACAGATTGGAGTGCAGAAAATTCCTAGTGACGGTCTTTCTTGTACTCTGAGGCTTAATACTGGAATCTAGAGAGAAAAAAGAATGGTGTACATAAGATTTAAGGTACCTTTAAAGATGTTTTAATAAGCTTTAGATTGAATAAGATCCAAAGTGGCTGCCTGAATTTCCTTAACCTGAAATGAACTGGTCAAAGATTTTAAAATACAAAGTTTCTCATAAAGGCTTTATAGGAGAAATTAAGTATATCATTCACTTGTGCCCAAGTTAATATGGTTATGATCTCTGGGAGTTTTGAGTCCCAGGGTTATCATTTTTGAAGGTAAGTGAACCAGAAAACTCACTGAAGAAGCAGAGAGGTGGATGGATGTGGAAGTTGTCCATCTCCTGTTTCTGAAATGTCTTTCTACTATTCTTGTTTCTACCAATTATGAGTTTTTTAATTATAAGAGAAAGGGAAGGCCGGGCATGGTGGCTCTACCTGTAATTCCAACACTTTGGGAGGCTGAGGTGAGAGGATTGCCTGAGCCCAGATGTTTGAGACCAGCCTGGGCAACTTAGTGAGACCTTGTCTCTACAATAAATCACAAAAACTAGCTGGGCATGGTAGTGTGCATCTGTAGTTCTAGCTACTTGGAAGGCTGAGGCAGAAGGATCACCTAAGCCCAGCAGGTTGAGACTGTGGTGGCCGTGAGCATGCCGCTGCTCTCCAGCCTGGGTGACAAGTGTGAGACTCCAACTCAAAAAAAAGAGAGGGAAATAAAATGCCTATAAAACTAACAGTCTAGAAATGTCTTAGATAAGATTTAAGTTAAAAGAAAAAAAGCTAATCTAAGTAAGATAAATATTTACAAATACCACAAAGATTTAAAAGGTTGAATTAAAAACTGAGACTTAAAAATTTCAGTGTATATGGAATTAATAAATGAAGAAAGAATTATTTACTAGAAAGATATAGTTTATATATATAAAATATATACAGGTATATATATACATTTATATTTCATAAACATTTATATATGCATATGCATTAAAAACATACATATACTATGCCCATATATGTAAGCACTATAGAGGAAAAGAAATGTAATTTTACTAGATTTCTTAAAGAGTAAAAGAATAATCAAAAGCATTTCAGCCAACCCAAATGCAACATTGATTTTTGAAAAAAGATAATTTAAGGAGAAAACCTTTAAAATGGAATAAAGTCAGTAATTTTGTTAAAGATGCTGTCTATAGTGAAGACATAGTAGGTACAAAAAAGTGAATCATCAAATTCCAGAACATTGAAGGCTTCTGCTAGTGCAAGAAGAGGTCACAGAAATGCATTTGTTGTGGAGACTAGAACACACCACTCTCAATTCCTTAGCAGATTGATTTAGGGGGGGGAAAAGATTTTAATAAATATCTAAGTTTATCTATTGGATACATATACAACATTTTACAAAGGAGCAGCAGTTTAAAATCCAGGAAATTCCAAGGATTCCATTAGGTGCTTTAGGGAAAGCAGGAAAGGTTTGGTGGTACTCCAGCCTCCATGCTATCCCCACATCTTCTTCAACCAGTACCTCTTCTACTTTAGGTAATGACTCTGCATATCATCAGTTAACAGTGTTTCACTCTTTTGTAAAAATGTAAGCCGAGCTCAGTGGCTCAGCCTGTAATCACAGCACTTTAGGAGACCGAGGTGAGTGGATTGCCTGAGCCTGTGGGTTCGAGACCACCCTGGGCAACTTGGCGAGACCTCATCTCTACAGTAAATCAAAAATTAGCCGGACGTGGTAGCACAGGCCTATAGTTCCAGCTACTTGGAAGGCTGAGGCGGAAGGATTGGCAGAGCCCAGCAGGTCAACAGTGTGGTGGCCCTGAGTATGCTGTGACACTCCAGCCTGGGTGATGGAGTGAGACTCCAACTCAAAAAAAAAAAAAAAAAGTGATCCCAATCTGCGGAGGCAGCAAAACACTTCGATGTACCCTGTGAGCAGTTTCAAAGGGAGCCCATATTCTTTGCCCTGCTGGGGAAATCCACATCCACCAGTGACATGTTGGACAAACTTGAAAGACGGTGG